CATAGCCAAAACATACTTCATGCTGTTTGGAAACAGTAAATCTCCAGTTTAATATACCGATAAATGAGTCCCGCATTTCAAGATACACTGAGGGTAAATTTCTAGGTCTTCCTGACTAATCTTAAATTTCATTCCCACATCCAGCATATTTACGTATTTTTTATATAGGTGGACTTGAGTCTTGGAAATGGGAAGTACAATGCTTGCACTTTAAAGGAGTGGTTTGGGATATTGACAGTTTGGAGGGATATGTTGTGTATCTTTATACGTATATGCTTCTAAACTGTTGTAGTCTGAGCACCTCTGCAAAAACAGTGATTATGTATGAGTGAGGTGAAAGTGTTGAGTGATAATGAAAGCATTTTCTTTTTGGGGATTTTCTTTCTTTTTGGGTCACCCTGCCTCAGTGGGAGACGGCTGACTTGTTTAAAAAAAAAAAAAAAAATCCAGCATATATCCAAGAAAATTTCCAAATCAGTAGGTGTCCTTTCCATGATAAGATACTACATACCCCAAATGACACTCCTTAGTCTATACCACTCTTTAATATATCCCTACCTCACCTATAGTATTTGTGTCTGGGGACCAACCACTGTCAGCCACCTTAAACCTTTAATAACCCAACAAAAAGCTGCTGTTCAGATGATTACCAGCTCCTGTGTTAGACAGCACACCCCACCACTTTTCAAAAGCCTGAACTTGCTAAATATACGAGACATTCGCTCATATTGTTATGCCTACTACATATACAAAACATTAACCCTTTGACTGTTTTGATCGTATATATACGTGTTACAAGCCAGTGTTTCGGATGTATATATACTCAGTAATTCTAGCAGCTTCAAAGCAAGCAGAAGAAAGCTGGTAGGCCCACATGTGAGAGAATGGGTCTGTATGGTTAGTGTGCACCATATAAAAAAAATCCTGTAGCACTCAGTGCATAATGATAAAAAAAAAACTCCGACCGTTTTTTTGGATTAAAACGCCGACTTTGAGGTGTATTTTCGTATAGTATTTATAGTTGTATTCTCGTTTTCATGGTATCACGTGATAAAATGGAACACACATTACAGAAAAAGAGATGATTTTGATTAGTTTCACAACGAAAACGACCTTCAAATTGAGCTCAAAGTAGTGGAAATGTTCGATTTTTACCAATGTTCAAGAGTAAGCAAATCACACCACACATCCAATACACGTCAACTGGGGAGTCTGATGTTCTTTCACTAGTGCACTGATATTATTTATACCATTTTTACAATAATGCAGTAGTCTGCGTAACAGTAAATCTTCTATTTTTTGTATGAATAAAAAATCAAAATAGAAAGCAATAGTAATGTAAGAGGGGCCTAGAGATGTGACTAATGAACAGAGGATGTGTTATTTTAGTGCCAAGACTGTCTACATTGTTTATTCTGGACTCTCTTTTGAAATTGGCATCTTTTTTAATTTGCGTGAAATTGGCCAAATTGCCAATTTCTGACCACTTTATTGAGTAGTTCAAATCAGTATTGGGTAGTTCAAATCGTCAGTTTCTTATACTCAATTGATAGAAAAGATGGAGTTCTAAAGAAATAGCTATGAGTTTAGTCAACTGGAACAACGGAATTGGCCAAAAACAGGGCTCTAAGTCGGCGAAATCGCTGATGTGTGCATGTTGCCAAGACTGCTAACTTCACGGGAGCGTAATTCCGTGAGTTTTCTACCAAATTTTGTACTTTTGGTGTCATTACCATCAGGAAAAGATTCTCTATTATTTCATAAGAAAAAAATAATTTTTTTTTTTTTTTCCAAAAATTTTTCGACACTTTCAGAAAGGGGCTTGTGACAGTCACAGGATTCAACTCCAATATAAACCCTCCACTTAAACTTCTTGATAGCTACACCAGAACGCACAGTCACAATACAAGGCATAAGGCACTCTTCAACATCCCACGTGTCAGCCTTGCACTATGCAAAAATACAGTGCACATAAAGGGCCCAAAGATCTGGAATTCACTACCTGAACCAGTAAAGGATCCCCTGACTACTCATAAATTTAGGACTTTGCTTAAAAATCATCTCATCTGTCAATACTAACCAAACCAACCAAAACAACTTCTAATCAGTTTTTTTTTTTTTAACACATTGGCCGTCTCCCGCCGAGGCAGGGTGACCCAAAAAGAAAGAAAAACTCAAAAAAATGTTATATTATATATGACCTTTAGTTTATTAAACATCTGCCAGTCCATGAAATACTACTACTAGAACCATTAATTGTAATACAGTACAACTTCAAGATTATTGTTCTTATAAACCTCCACCTTGACCACCTCACATTAGTATTAAAATTAAATAAAGATTTTAATAAAAGTTAAGCACTCTTACCTTGTGTAGATTTAAGTAGTTATTATGTACTAGGATCAGTCTTCCTGAACTACCCTGGCATGATAGTCACTTTGTACTTACCAAACCAAAATTTTAAGTACACTTTGTAACCTTAACAAAGAAATAAAATCTTTATCTTTAACCCTTTCAGGGTTTCGGACGTACTAGTACGGCTTACGCACCAGGGTTTTTGACATACTAGTATGCCTAAATTCTAGCGCCCTCAAATCTAGTGAGAGAAAGCTTGTAGGCCTACATATGAAGGAATGGGTCTATGTGGTCAGTGTGTGTAGTATAAAAAAAATCCTGCAGCACACAGTGCATAATGAGAAAAAAAACTTTGACCGTGTTTTTGGATTAAAACAGCGACTTTGCACTGTACTTTCATGTGGTATTTATTGTTGTATTCTAGTTTTCCTGGTCTAATTTTATAGAATGGAAGACATGTTACAGAAATTGAGATGATTTTGACTGGTTTTACAGTGAAAAGTACCTTGAAATTGAGCTCAAAGTAGCAGAAATGTTTGATTTTTACCAAAGTTCAAAAGTAAACAAATCATGCTAAGCATCCAATACACATCAACTGGTGAGTCTAATATTCTTTCACAAGTGCGCTGATATTATTTATACCATTTCTACACTAATGCAGTAGTCTGCATAACAGTAAATCTTCTATTTTTTGTGTAATAAAAATTCAAAGTGGGAAGCAAAAGAATGTAAGAGGGGCATGGGGACATGACTAATGAACAGAGGAAATGTTATTTAAGTGCCAGGAATGTCTTTCTTGTTTATTCTGGACCCTATTTGGAAATTGGCATCTTTTGAAATTTGTGTGAAATTGGCAAAATTGCTAAATTCTGACCACTGTATTGGATAGTTGAAATCGGTAAATGGGTGGTTTCTTGTACTCATTCGATAGAAAAAATGGAGTTCTAGCGAAATAGTTATAATTTTTGTCGACTAGTACACTGGAATTGGCCGAAAATAGGGCTCAAAGTGGGCAAAATCACCGATGTGTAAACATCGCTAACTTTGCGAGAGCATGATTCCATAAGTTTTCCATCAAATTTCATACTTTTGGTGTCATTATGATTGGGAAAAGATTCTCTGTCTTTTCATAAGTTTTTTTTTTTTTTTTTTTTTTTTTTTTTTTTTTTTTTTTTTTTTTTTTTAAATTTGGGGGACCCTGAGAACAAGTCTCTGAGAGGACCTGTGGACCCTGAAAGGGTTAAAAGACATCAGTGGCTGATGCATTGTATGAAACAGATGGATCATTTCATGGGTTTAAGATGTGTAGGCACAAATTTTTTGGATTCTCTCTAATAAGTGGAAAATACATCTGGGTTAGCTTTAAAGTTTTAGTGCTTATTTGTTTTTTCCTCAAAAAAGAAAAAAATAATCTGATGTTAACTTATGTAAGTTGTCTGGTGCCAGTTTTATTAATGTAATCAAATTAGTTTCTGGGAAATGATTGGATAATGTCTCTTCCGATTGGAAAAAGTCAGCGTTTGACATTATTTAGTTATCCTAGGTTGAATCAACTTAATGTTCTTTTGTGTGTGTATAACATCTGTGTGCACTCAAGACCATTGTTAAATATTTGTATGTTATGTACATTAAGCTTGTGTAAAACTTGCTTAGCATATTTTGTCTTTTTTGGTCTCCTTAAAAGGTTTGACTTAGGTTTGGACTGTGTAATGTCTTAATTTACCATTTTTTATTGATGAAATTTGGATATTAGCATATAGAATGACTTGTAAATGCTGCTTCTGATTCCCTTCAAATCTTCAACACTAATATTTACTGCATTATTAACTTATGCTGCACTCTGCACAATTCCAGTCACGTGCATAGAGGCTCTGGGAATTGGGGTTATAGAGTACGAGGATACCTTTATCGGAGCATGCAGCGACCGAGGTGCGTTTAGTTTTATCATAATTTATCAAGCATTAAATATTTTCAGCTAGGTAATTAAAGATTTTTCTTTCATTTCTGGGTCACCCTGAATTTGTGGGAAATGGCTGACATGTTAAAAAAAAAAAATAAAGCTTGCACCAGTTGAATCTGATTCCAGATATGAATTGTTTAATAGGTATATTCTGATTACCTATATTTTATATCTTTATATATGCTTCTAAACTGTTGTATCTGGGGACCTCTTCAAAAACAGTGATTATCTATGAGTGAGGTGAAAATGTTGAATGATGATGAAAGTATTTTCTTTTTGGGGATTTTCTTTCTTTTTGGGTCACCCTGCCTCGGTAGGAGACAGCCAACTTGTTAAAAAAAAAAAAAAATTCTGATTACCCAAGTTATATTCCAGAGCAATGCCTATTGTCTCATTTCCTCAAAATTACCTATGCCATAAATCTTGACTTAGAGGCCATACTGAGCTGAGATTTATTTGTGCCTGTTGAAGGCATTGAATAACTTTGAATACCAGATTTGAAGGTATTTAGAGATAGTAGGGTGTTAAATCCCAGAAATATTGAATGTCCTGTCCTGGAACTCTCAAAATCTTCCATGCTAGAATTACAAGTCCTCATAATAAAATTTGTTGAATTTTTTATATATTGTTTATAAAGTTTTTGCGATACATATTTTCCACTACATGTAAAAAATATTCATTTCAGTAAAATAATTAAGATAGAGTACTCCATTCATTGCTGTCAAAACCTCCTGAGAGATGCTTTTAAAGACAGGAAGAGAGATCCACACACCACACCGGGTATTAAACGTAAACAGGTGTCAATACCAGATAGCAACTGTGAGGTATGTATTCCTAGTCATTTTTAGTGAGAGAACACATCAGCTGCTGCAACCCATTTCCTCTTTATTATACAAAAAGAGGAAATTGGGTTGCATCAGTAGTCAATATGGAATGCTTACCTATACTTGTTTTCACATCTTGTCTGCCCTTCTGTCCACGACAAAACTGCCATCCATCCCCTTAAAAAATCACATCCACCTTAGGGTGAACTTTCCACCCAAAATAGCACTGACTTAAATTGTTTGTCAGTATTCATATACTGACTTGTTCCTGCTGTTAACTCTCCTTTGCCTAGCAGCACTTTCTGACTTACACAGGGTTGGCAAATATTTTGTGCATACAGTGTACTGTAGTGATGATAATCAGGAGCCAGTCAAAATGGACTTCCACAACCACAATTTCTGCATAATAATGAATTTTAATTTTTGACACAGAGACTAAAAAATGAACTGCAGTATAATAATTTTCACTTGCTCTACAATTTTATTATGAATGTGTCATTTTAGCAAGCATGGGAATGTATAATAATTGTGTAATATATGATACACTATGAGTACAGTACTTATTGTACATACTGGAACAGAGCTATGCTCATGGTGCCCTGTCTTCAGTGTTTCATCTCTCATGTACAGTAATTGTTTAAATTTTACAGGAATTGTATTATTTACTTTCTCTTGTATCCCATTCTAGTGTTCTTCCACTTGAGAAAGAAACTTAGCATTATTTGATGCTACATTTTTACCAAATTAAAACTTTCTCTGTTCTTCCTATTGATGGTACCAAGAAGTCTTCTTTATCTATTCTTTTGCATTATTATATATCCTTACAGTTGATTATCATGTTTTTTTTTTCTCATCTCAGCAAACAAGGGCATTATTGCTGTTTTCAGCCTTATTGTTTTCATTAGTTTTATGCCATTAGTAAAGAACAGTTCATAGGATTTTATCCCCTTGTTCAAGTCATTTATATATTTTTAGAGTAGCATGGGCCTAGATATGGATCCTTTGGGAACCAAACTTGTTACACTCTCATCCCATCAACCCTTAAACTGTGCATGGGAATGTAGTGACATATCTGCTATGGATAGTTTTTTTCTCTTAGGATTATAGAGCACCAATAATTGGCTGTAATCTAAAAAAATGTAAGTAGAAATTAGAAACACGTTAGCTCCATTGGAATGGTGAAATCTTGTATTTTAGCAATGCTGCACTATTTCCTGGCTGAAAAGGACTTGTCATTCAGTTTCTTGAGTTTCTCATTATTATTATTATTATTATTATTATTATTATTATTATTATTATTATTTATTATATTCATATTAAACTCTAAACCCATGCAAGTAATTCAACACAGATGTGGTGGAAGCTTGATCCTCCATGTGCTGAACACGAGTCAGACATGCTTACAGTTTGTACTCGCCTTTGTACTACTGTATGTCTCATCTTAAGTGACTCATTTAGAATTAATCTTCGAAGGGATAGAACATAAAACATAGACATAGAACATCAACTGTTTGATTGTGGGCAGAAATTATCAGGGAAGATCCAGGTGGCCTGTGACTTATACCTGCACTATTACTTTGAAGCTAAATGTCTTAGGTAATGTACAGTTTTTTTTTTTTTTTTTTTTTTTTCAACAAGTCGGCCGTCTCCCACCGAGGCAGGGTGACCCAAAAAAAGAAAGAAAATCCCCAAAAAGAAAATACTTTCATCATCATTCAACACTTTCACCACACTCGCACATTATCACTGTTTTTGCAGAGGTGCTCAGAATACAACAGTCTAGAAGCATACACACAAAGATACACAACATATCCCTCCAAACTGCCAAATATCCCAAACCCCTCCTTTAAAGTGCAGGCATTGTACTTCCCATTTCCAGGACTCAAGTCCGACTATATGAAAATAACCGGTTTCCCTGAATCCCTTCACTAAATATTACCCTGCTCACACTCCAACAGATCGTCAGGTCCCAAGTACCATTCGTCTCCATTCACTCCTATCTAACACGCTCACGTTATGTTGATATATTCAAAGACTTGCTTGCCATATGTGGTAACTTCATTTTACTTCTAACAGCTAGGCTCATATACACATTTGAACCTAGATGAGCTGGATGTGGTTTTAGAGCCTGAGTGAATTTACATTAAATATGATTTGGCTGTTATGTGGTTAAATGAGTACCACTTTGCTTGTAGTTATCAGGCTGTATAGTCAAGGATAAAAGTCTTATTAGATGATCAACTTTAAACTGCTGGAACCTGCATAGGATTTTGTACAGCTTCAAACAGGTGTGTGGCATACCTGTGAGATAACTGTCATGTGATAGTGAATAATGAAGAATGGATTGTCTGTGACTGTGCATACTGGGAGCAGATTGTCCATGACTATACATGACAGGGAAATATTGTCTATGATGATACAAACCAGATTGTTCATGATTGTGCATATTTGGAAATGTGATTGGACCTACTTGAAAAATAGGTTATCTGATTGTTCTTACAGTAGAAACTGGGAAATAGTTTATCCATGACAATACTACTTACTGGGAAATAAGTGTCTGTGGCTACATGTGGATAAACAGGATTGCCAAAGATAAAATTGAAATAAATAGTAATGGTTAAATAAGATGGGATGAACCATAGAATAGACTAGCAGAAAATAAGGTAGGTGAAGTGTTGAGGTATCTGTGGAAAGAAGTTTATCTTTGGAAGCAGAAATAAAAATGAGACTAGTAGTACCAACAGTTTCATATGAATGTAAAGCATAGGTTTCAAACACTGCTGTAATGAGGAACTAGATATAGTGAAGATGTCATTTTTGAGAGGTTTGTGATGGTATGAATGTTATATACAGAATTTGAAGTGTAGAAATTAGAAGATAGTGTAGGGTTATGAAAGGTATAATTCAGAGGATGTAGGAGGGATCGTTGAGGTGGGTTGGGCATTTAGAGAGACTGGAGCAGAATAGGATGTATAAGGAGGGAATGGCTAAGAAGGGTAAAAGTTATTCCAGGAAAGGTTGAAGGAAAGGGACTAAGTATCCAGTTGATGTGTGTGTGAGCATATTATATCAATGAAAAAAAAAAAGATTTGGTTTTATGGGTTGACATTCTGCTGGAGTGTGATCAAGACAGCATTTATGGAAATATTTTGGAAAACCAGTTAGCTGGATTTGAGTTTTGGAGGTAAGAAGTACAGTGTCTACACTCATAAGGAAGAGTATACAGTGGACCCCCGGTTAACGATATTTCTTCACTCCAGAAGTATGTTCAGGTGCCAGTACTGACCGAATTTGTTCCCATAAGAAATATTGTGAAGTAGATTAGTCCATTTCAGAACCCCAAACATACACGTACAAACGCACTTACATAAATACACTTACATAATTGGTCACATTCGGAGGTAATCGTTATGCGGGGGTCCACTGTAGAATGTTAAACTTTAGGTCATTTGAATTGTGATATCTCTACACTTCTGGCAAGACAGCTATTGAAAGATGGTGAATGCTTCTTTTTTGGGGGTTAATCTACTTTGAGAGATGGCAGGTTTGGTAAAATAGTTTAAATATGACTTTATTTACAAACAATTCCTAGCTATTAAGTATTTCATAAACATTTTTGGTAATCTAGGGACAATACATGTAATAGAATTAGTGTAATGAATACTGATCAGTATAACATCCACATGGAGACCGGAAGAAAGAGTGAAATGGGAGCTGTGTTGTAGGGCAAAATATAAACCTCTCATTTCAACAATCCCCTTGTGATTTTTTGTCTTGTATAAGTTTTGTGCATATGTGTTTGACACTTAAGATACAGTGGAACCTCAAAAATCGAACTTAATCCATTCCAGGAGCTAGTTCTAAATTCGAAAAGTCTGAAATTCGAAGCAATATTTCCCATAAGAAGTAATGGAAATACAATTAATCTGTTCCAGAAACCCAAAAATATTCACACAAAAAATACATTTTATAGAGATTAATTACAGGTTTACATACAACAAATACTACAGTTTTTAATTATGTATAGTAATACATATAAAATAACATTTTTACTTACCTTTATTGAAGATTGGTGATGGCATCTGGAAGATAGGGAGGAGGAGAGAGGGAGTTGGGGTTAGTGTTTGGAAGGAGAATCCCCCTCCATGAGGACTTCAGGTAAAGCCCTCTCTGGGGTTACTTCCCTTCTCTGTCTTTTAATGCCACTAGGACCAGCTTGAGAGTCACTGGACCCCTGTCTCACAAAATGACTGTCCACAGTCATTTCCCTAAAATGGGACATGGTTCTGTCACTGAACTTGTTGCAAAGATGGCTTGTTTCAGCTTGCTCAGGGTGGTACTTCTGCACAAACATTTGGATATCATTCCACTTGGCACAAATCTCCTTAATCTTTGAAGAAGGCACCTCATCCACTCCCTCTTCCTCCTCCTCTGAAGCAAGTTCCTCAGCTGTGGTCTGATACTGCTCCAGATGAAGCTCTTGCAGCTCTTCAGTGGTTAGCTCTTCCCTGTGGTCCTCCACCAACTCTTCCACATCCTCACCACTCACCTCCAACCCCAGGGTGTTCCCCAATGCCACAGTAGAGTCCACAACAGGCAGAGGGTCAGCTGGGTCAGAGACATGGTCAGCCTCAAACTCTTCAAAATCCTTCTTTTGGACACAATCTGGCCACAAGTGTCTCCAAGTAGAGTTCAAAGTCCTGGAAGTCACTCCCTCCCAAGCCTTACCTATAAGGCTTATGGAGCTGTAGATGTTGAAGTGATTCCTCCAGAACTCTCTAGGGTCAACTTAGTGTCTGTGGTCACTTCAAAGCACTTTTCAAACACTGCTTTTGTGTAGTTTTTTGAAGTTAGAAATGACCTGCTGGTCCATGGGCTGGAGGAGAGGAGTGGTGTTAGGAGGCAAGAACTTCACTTTTATAAAACTGAAGTCCTTAGACAAGAGGTCTAATAAGTTTGGAAGATGAGCAGGAGCATTGTCCATTAACAGGAGGCACTTGAGTGGCAATTTCTTTTCCTGGAGGTATTTTTTCACACTGGGGCCAAACACTTCATAGACCCACTCTGAAAATTTGCCTTGTGACCCATGCCTTATGATTAGCTTTCCACAAGACACATAACTTGTTCTTAAAGGCTAGGATTTTCTGAATGATACACAAGTAAAGGCTTCACTTTAAAATCACCACTAGCATTAGCACAGAACAAAAGAGTAAGCCTGTCTTTCATAGGCTTGTGTCCTGGGAGTGCCTTTTCCTCCTGTGTGATGAAGGTCCTTTTTGGCATTTTCTTCCAAAACAGGCCTGTTTCGTCACAATTAAACACTTGTTCAGGTTTGAATTCTTCACTGTCTATGTACCCCTTAAACTCCTGTACAAACTTCTCAGCCGCCTGTTTGTCTGAACTGGCTGCCTCGCCATGTCTTACAACATTGTGTATGCCACTACGCTTCTTAAATCTGTCAAGCCAGCCTCTGCTGGCCTTAAATTCACTATCAGCACTGGTTCCAGGAGTTTTCTGTACCAGATTGGCATGCAACTTCCTTGCCTTTTCGCAAATAATCGTCTCTGGAACACTATCACCTGCAATCTCTTTATCCTTGATCCACACCAGCAACAACTTCTCAACCTCTTCAACTATTTGTGGTCTTTTTTTGGTTAGCATATTAACACCTTTCGCAACATCAGCTTCCTTGATTTGTTCTTTCTTTACCAGGATAGAACCGATGGTCGACTTGTTTTTCCCATACATCCTGGCAAGCTCAACAAGTCTCACACCACTCTCATACTTCTGTATTATTTCCTTCTTCACATCTATGGTGTTTCTCACTTTCTTTACCACAGGGGTACCACTAGCAAATTTCTTTGGGCCCATGGTAGCTTATTTCACAGTCCCACAAGCACTAAACATAACAAAATAATCGTAAAATGCGTGAATGAGAGCGCAGGTTAGTGTTCACTCAAGCATAAACAAAGCTAGACTGCTCACGGCGCCTGCGCGGGGATGCAGACAGCGGGCCGGCAGACAGGTCCCGTACCTGGCGGTCCGAAAATAGGGGTGCGTTCGATAATAGGGACACAGTTTGTCCGAAAAAATGGTCCTATTTTCAAAGCGTTCGATTTGTGATACGTTCGATTTTTGAGGTTCCACTGTACATATTTTAAAAATTAATACTCATTTGCCATCTACCATTTTAAATCTCTAAAACCTTTATACCTTTTAGTGTTCCAAGGCATCCTGTAGAACTGGAGTGGAGGAGAATAATAGAATGGAGAAACCAATGGATTTAGTTGTTGTAAGTACAGTATATCCATCCTTTTGTTTTTGCTCCATCTTTTAAGGTGATACAATAGACCGTCATTTAACATGAGTTTATTTGGCACGATTCAGGTATAGCACGATTGAAGAATTGCTGCACAATTTTATGTAGCACTTCATAAAATTAATTTAACGCGGTTCACAGGAGGGGAAAAAATTTTGAGCGCACGGTCGCCTGCGGGATTGGTGATGGGTTACACCACTGAGTCAATGGGGGAGACCTATTGCCATTCCCTGCTACCCTCAGCCACCCACACCACCCTCCCAGCCTTCAGTTTGGTTCATATGTGTGTAGGACGATCCTCAGGAAGCTCGCAATGTTTCTTTACATACGTATTTTAATTGCCATATCCTAAATCTGCCAAGCAATCATGGCACCCAGTAGGCCCACAAGTGTTGCTGAAAGTGGCAAGAAAAGGTTTAAACATTTAAATCTTAGAATTAACGAAGAAAACAGAGATATTAGACAAGAGATAACCCGTGGCCGTAATGAAACGTCACTGTGCACATCAAATGAAGTAAATATGAGTTTGTGTGATTGACTGACTTACTGACTGACTGACTTATTGACTTGACTGAATGACTTACTGACATGACTGAATGACTTATTGACTTGCCTGAATGACTTACTGACTTGACTGAATGGCTTACTGACTTGACTCAATGATTTACTGACTGACTGAAAAACTACCGACATGACTGAATGACTTACTACTGACTGACTGAATAACTTATTGGCTTACCTGGTACCACATGGAGAGGGTTTCGGGGGTCAACGCCCCCGCGGCCCAGTCTGAGACCAGGCCTCATGGTGGATCAGGGTCTGTTCAACCAGGCTGTTACTGCTGGCCACACGCAAGCTGACGTACGAACCACAGCCTGGTTGGTCAGGTACTGACTTTAGGGTGCTTGTCCAGTGCCTTCTTGAAGACAGCCAGGGGTCTATTGGTAATCCCCCTTATATATGCAGAGTGACTTACTGACTTGACTGAATGACTCACTGACTTGACTGAATGACTTACCGACTCGATTGAATGACTTACCTACTCGACTGAATGACTTACTGACTCGACTGAATGACTTACTGACTTGACTGAATGACTTACTGACTTGATTGAATAACTTACTGACTTGACTGAATAACTTACTGATGACTGAATGACTGACTTACTGAATGACTTAGTTAGACTTTTACTCTTTAGAGGACCCAGAAATGGTGTCTAGAGCAGCTGATGCCTTACCATCAGTTGTATAATGTACTGCAGGGTAAAATAGAACAGAAATCCATTACAGAATTTATGCAAACTCCAGTACAACCATCAACTTCAGTACCAGAACCTCTGCCATCCACCTCAGCCCAGTAGGGCCACAACATAACTCTCCACTCTCTCTCTTCACAATCATTGACAAATACCATCATCCACAGTTTAAGGTAAGAAATACTATTATTTCTGTTGCATTTGTAGTCTTAACAGTAAAAACAACATAATACATCACGACAATGAACTACAATTACATATTCATGTTGGGAGGGTTCGTGGAGATGTGATGGTTGGAGTTAAACACACTTGTTGGATGGTAACACTTATATTAGCCGAGTGTGAAGGAGGAGCCCAGCCTGCCATGTGTTGCCTGTTGTAGACCTAAGCGCAGAGTGAGAACGATTACGGGAGCACAGCGCTCACAACGCATCACGTGACATCACACAAGCTAGTCACTGAGCCTAGCAAGGGGTCATGTATGTAAAACATATGGATGGTACTAACTATGATACTCAGATAACATATACAAATACAGGGGATCAGCAACTATTCTGACATTCACTTTTATTTTTGTAAGATCTGTTGGTCTAAAAAAAAAGTTGTTTGGCTTTTTGGGGGCTTCCAGGAATGTAACCCTATTTTTTCCATGAGTTCTTCAGTTCATCTAACACAGCGTTTTTCAGGAATGTAAGTACCGTGTTAAATGACAGTCTACTGTACTTCATAACTCTGCTATATTATTATGCTGATTTGTTTATTTTGCTACGTAATCAATTTTTTAGGTTTATACTGTTTTGGTAGACATCCATAGTACTGGGCTGTTGAAGTTATAGTATATCTCAACTATGAAATTTACATCTATTAAAAATACTAGTTTATACTTCTTTGTTTATGTATTCTGAACTTGAGCTTCAGTGGGAAATGGCTGATGTGTTAAAAAAAAAAATTGATAAAAGTAAGGAAACTTTTGTTGCATTCTTAGATTTAGAAAAGGTAAATAATAGGGTGAATAGGAGAGCAGTGTGGCAGATGTTGCAAGTGTATGGAATAGATTGTATGTTACGGAAAACAGTTAAGAATTTTTATGAGGATAATGGGGCTCATGTTAGGGTTTGTAGGAGAGAGAGAGAGAGCAGGAGATTACTTTCCATTGAAAGTAGACCTTAGACAGGGATGTGTGATGTCACCAAGGTTGTTTAACATATTTATAAACAGGGTTGTAAAGGAAGTAAATACTGTACTAAGGTGTTTGGGGAAAGGTATGGGATTAAAATTTGCAGAATCCAATACAAAAGAAGGAAGTTGAAAGTGAACATAGATAAAAGTGAGGTGATGAGGGATAACAAATGAGTTAGGTAATAAAGGATTGGATATCAGATTGGAGGGAGGGAGTATGGAGGAAGTGAATGTGTTCAGATATTTGGAAGTGGACCCGTCAGGAGATGGGCATATGAAAGACGAGGTGAACCATAGAATTGAAGGGAAAAAGGTGGGTGGTGCATTGAGGTATATGTGGAGACAAAGAATGTTATCCATGGTGGCAAAGAGGGTAATGTATGAGAATATAGTGGTGCCAACACACATGGGTGTGAAGCATGGGTGGTGAATGTTGCAGTGAGGAGGAAGTTGGAGGCTGTGGAGGTGTTGTGTCTGAGGGCAGTGTGTGGCGTAAATATTATGCAGAGAATTCGTAGTTTGGAGATTAGGAGGAGGTATGGAGTTACTAAAAGGGTTATCCAAAGGGCTGAGGAGGAGTTGTTTGGTCATTTAGAGAAGATGTAGCAAAATAGGATGACTTTGGAGGGTGTATAAATCTGTAGTAGAGGGAAGGTGAGGCAGAGGTCATCCTAGGAAAGGATGGAGTGAGAGGGTAATGGAGGTTTTGTGTGCAAGGGGCTTGGCCATGTATAGAGCAGAGCATTGCTGTAAGGATACTGGCCATACTAGGCAGGTACAACTCACTCCCACTGTTTTTAAAGCTACCCAATGTTCTCGCTTCAGTGGCACTACCCAGGAGTGTGTTTCACTTAAAACTCTCTTGCCATTTCACTGCTTATATCCTTCCTAAAATTAAATTTATTTAACCTGTATCCATTGCTGCGAATCCTGTCTTGATTAGGTATTTTCAGTGCACTATTAATGTTTCTGGTTTTCCATTCATATAAGTACTTTAATCGTGTCCCCTATTTCTTTTTTTTTCCTGAGTGAAAGTTCAGTGCTTTCAGTTTATATTCATAGAAAATGTTTCTGATACAGGGGATCAACTGTCTCATCTTCTGTTTTCCTGTGCATTTGTCCTTTCTGTAATATGGAGAACAGACCTGAGCAGCGTAATGTAAATAAGACATTAACAAAGATATATAAAGTTGGAGTATAACCTTAGGATTTCTATTATTTATGCGTCTTGATATGATGCCACCAATTTTATTAGCCTTATTGCAAAGACTTTTCCATTGTTGTCTTGGCTTTAGATTTCTGCTAACCAGAGCTGCTAATGATTTTTCATACATTTTGATAAAGTTATACAGTATTTTTTATAAGTGCCATAGATATTTTTCTTTCCCCTACAAGTTCATATTAAACTGTATCTGCCACTTCTGTGACTACAACATTAAGCTATCCAGATAATCCTGTAGCTTCCTAGTGTCCTTATCAAAAATTATTTGATTGCCTGTTTTAATGTCATTAGTAAACTTGTTTGATGGTAGGATTGCTGGTGTGTTTTTTCTCTCTCTCAAACATGCAAGATTTCAGGTACGTCTTGCTACTTCTACTTACACTTAGGTCACACTACACATGCATGTATCAGCATATATATACACACCCCTCTAGGTTTTCTTTTATCTTTCTAGTTCATGTTCTTGTTAATTTTTACTTATCTCCATGGGGAAGTGGAATAGAGTTCTTCCTCCGTAAGCCATACGTGTCGTAAGAGGTGACTAAAATGCTGGGAGCATGGGGCTAGTAACCCCTTCTGTATATATTACTAAATTTAAAAGGAAAAACCTTTGTTTTTCCTTTTGGGCCACCCTGCCTCGGGGGGATACGACCGGTTTGTTGAAAGAAGAAGTAATCTTGCTCATGTCACTGCTTGTTCCTTCGTCTGTATTGTTTATGTAGATTGCTTGCAAGTGGTACAGTACTGACCCTGTGGCACATCAATAGTAATAGGCCCCCATTTATGCAGACTGTTTCCTATAAGTCAGCCATGCCTCAGCCTGAAGATAATGTCTCCTATACCACATTCCACTACTTGCTTCATTCTACTCCTGTTTGGAACTCATTCAAAGGCCTTACTGAAATTCACCCCTATACACAATATTGTATCCTTCATCATTGTTTACCACTTCAAGTACCTAAGTAACAAAAGATTAACAGATCTGTAAAGCAAGAATGTCAATTTTTAAAAGTGTTAAGATTCATTGATCAAATTAATTGTATCTACACTTATTCACTCCATCACGTTTCCTACAATTTTAGTTAGACTGATTGGTCCTTGGCTTCAAATTATAGACTATCTTCTGCTTTGTAAATCTGTCAGTAAAATTTCCCTGTGTGCTGTGTGCTAATTTTTCTCAAACTTTATGGTGTGATTGATATGTCACTTTCCTGTTCTGCTAAGACTTGGGTGCAATATTTCTGTTATGGTTTGTTGAAAATGCAATCCCAGGACATGTGATATGAGATTCTACTGTATGTATTCACAAAAGTGATA